AAATCAAATAAGGTTAAAATGTATGTTTTTATTTGATTTTATTTTATTACGAAAAAAATAAAATCGATTTTTTGTATTTAGTGTTAAGACACCCGGCGGTAAATTAACATATCAATATGTTAAAAAACGAGGAACAGTTCCAAAATGTGGTGATTGTAAAGTTGAATTACCAGGCGTAAGTTTCGCTGTTTGTTCTTTCTTTAAATTTCATCTATTTGATCGATTTAGATCAAAGCATCTCGTCCAAAACAACGTATGTCAATGACAAAACGATTGAAAACTGTTTCACGTACTTATGGTGGTTCACGATGTGCTAAATGTGTTCGACTTCGGTAAGAAAAACTGAAAAGTAAAATTATTTTATAATAATTATTTTCTTTTTTTTCAGTATTGTTCGAGCTTTTCTCATCGAAGAACAACGTATTGTTGCTATGGTTATGAAATCGAAGAAAGTAGTTCCAGAAACAGTACCAACAACACAACAAACAAGCCAAAAATCGAAATAGATAGATCTTTCGTTTTGGCAATTATTATTTGTTTTTGAGATTCAATTCTCTCTTCTTTTCACATCATTCATTACCAACTTGATATTTGAGAGATATTAAAAAGAATAAAAATAATAAACAAACATTAAAAAAAAAATCTAACTTTTCAATTGTTGAACTAATCGAATTACAAATCATTGAAGTATTATGAATAGTTTACTTCTTTTCTATATGTGCGAATAATAATTATTGTATTTATCGAGGGTCTAGTTAGAAACTTTTCTTTAATAGACTACAAGATAATTCTATTTGGATACTTTTAGAGCTAATATAAAATTCTATTCAAATAAATAATATATTTCTTTTGTAATTTAGTCATTTCGAGAAATGCATTTAACTGTAAAAAAGGATAATTTGACAGAATTTAGTAATTAATCACATTTTTATTACCAAATGAAGATTTTCTCTTAGAAAAATTCCTTTTTGTAATGAGTAGAAAATAAAAAGGAAATATCTGATGATTTTCATGACTTGTTATTTGTAACTTTTAATAGAGGTTATGAAGCCTGAAGAAAAAGCATGTTGATTGATGATAGTTATAGAGAAAAAAACATTACTTATTCAATTTCAGTACTGTAATACAAATAAGAGCCATTGGCATATGATTTCTAAATACATTTCATACGTCTTTTGTACTTCATATTGAACAATTTTTATTCACTCTTTTAATATTGTGACTTGAATAAATAATTACTCAGAGTAATAAAAGATTATGAAAAGAATACATTATATAAAAATAATAGTATTCCGATTATTGTGGTTTCCGTTGAGAGATATTTCATATTGCTATACATTACGACTAGAATTGTTGTATTCTATTGCATAATTCAGATATCAACTTCGATCCACTGTGTATAAAAATCGTTAATGTTTTTTTTTTGCATAATCTCATTGTTAAAAATATTTTTAATATAAATATTTCATTGAGATTTCTCGCATGACAAAAACAACAACAAAAAGAAATAAAAACAAAAAATTACAGTCGTACAAAACAACAATAATAGGATGAACTAAAGCAAAGCAAGAAAAAATCATTCATATTGGTAAAGAAGGTTGACAATGATAAATATACATATATAATATTGACTAAATCTGATTTGACAATTAAAATAAGACAAATGCTAAGATATATTAATAAACAATGATGGCAAGTGGAATATTTGTCATTGATTTCATTGTTAGAATGGATCATTAAATTTGAGTTAATGTAATGGAGTAAAGTTAAAACCTCTGTCTCCTGATAGACCTGGACCTTGACCTAGACCTGGACCTGGTGCATTTAGAGGAGGACCTTCAGGTACTGGTGGACCACGATTAATACCACCAACATTTGCTCGTTGAAGCATTTCTTCTAATGGTGCTCTATAGAAAAAAAATAAATTAATTGTATAAACATTAAATTCAAAATTACTTTTTGCCAACAGCTAACATAAATTGGATAGCTCCATTGACCAATAAGCATATAAAACCAAATACGATACTTATTGATTGGCATAAAAGAAGTGGAACAAGAGGTGGTCTAAATATTATAAAAATACCAAAACATTTTTATTAGTTATTTCAATTTGAACTAACACTGAATAAAGTACAGCTTTTTGCCATGGTGGACGTTGTACGGAAAATTGTGCCACTGGTTGTGTATATTGCACGAATTGACAACAAACTGGTACTTCAAACATGATTAATGAGAAGCCCAGAAAACTAATTAATAAATAATAAGAAAAAGAAAATCTATCATTTTTTGCAAAAGAAAGAATACGAACATCATCATTACACCAGCAATAATACAGAAAGGCGATATACTGAGTGCACCAAAGACTCCACAAAGCATTGCAACTATAAAAATATAGAACAATGAAATAATTTTTTTTTCTTTTTAAAATTTACGAATTCCAGTGACGATAGCAGTAGCTCGAATAAACCATCGAAACCAAAATGTTGTTCCTTCAGCCTGTGGTTGTTGATCATCGATATTGACTGCTGTTTGAAATGCATTCATTGCTCGTCCAGCATAATTTGCGCCTTGTGCAGCATAAGTTGCACCTTGTGCAGCTTGATTTGGATTAAAATTATAACTCATAATTCATTCAAATATTTTAAAAAAAAGCACAAGAAAAAACTAATCAAAAAGATTTATATTTTTCTTCGTACACGAGATACTCTTGTATATGTTTTTGTTCGGATCCGAGAAAGAACAGGAAGTAAACAACTAAGTATTGGTATTTATCCTGATGGAAAGAGTGCGCCACATGATATGCATCACCTAGATGACGCGTAATGCTAAATGATTTTATTAGAATTGTCAGAATATATATAGAATATATGGTTGGATGTTCATATGAATTGTATATGATGTAGTGTACTGATGCATATGAAAACTACAAATTAATATTACTGGAAAAAACGAGAAAATATATAGTTATGCACTGATATTTGATGTAGAACTATATGAGCAAAAAGCAATAGTAACAATCTTCAAACCATGAAAATTTATTGTAATAATAACGCTTGATTATAATTTTAGTTAGATCAAACAGTAATTATATGTAAAGTCTATTTTAAGAAGTAGTATATTTATAATGACTTAATTCTTTATTAACAGATCAAAGTAGTTGGTATGATTACTAAAAACTATAATATAAATTTTATAAACAGTCAAACAGTATCAAAAAGTATTACAAGGTTTTCATAGTCTTACATAATTTATTTTATTATACAATCAAAAAATATTATGAAAAATAAACAACATAATGAGCTTAAGTTTCTGCTCCTACTTAGTATCATGTGTATTAGTGGAACAGATGTTTAATCCGTTGATCAATAATCGGTTGTATGTTTGATTAATCCATCCGTCTCTCAAATAACTGAAACCTTGTAACTTGCACTTTGTTTCTTGACTTCTCAGACTATTAATTATACTCTATAAAAAAACAATATTTTCTCGAATTACTCGTCTCCTAACGAAACATCATAGCAGAAAGTTTTTAAATTTTATATTGCTAAAATAATCATAATAAAAAATTTAATTATACTTCATATCACGTTTCTGTCGTTGAAAGTGACATCATTATCTTTCTTTTTTTTCTTCCAACAAGTAATTGCACTATCATACAAAATATATGATGCGCGACGAGTATGTATTTAGTGAGTAGAAGGAAAAAAACAAAAATACATTATACTATCAACATATAAAGTAATACAGTACGCATTTCATCAGCACTACAATGGCAAATCAAACTGTTTCCAGCTTCCTTACCTTGCCCGTAGAACTTGTCTACCGAATTCTGGATCATCAAACAGATCTCACAATTATATGCTCAATGAGAAATGTATGCGAACGGTTTAATAGGATTCTAGACAGTTATCATCGATACCAGGTAAATGTTTTTCTATCATGATAGTCTCATTTGTATCTATTGGCTCGCGAATTATTTTTCATTCCTACAATCTATATTTAAGTAGAATAGCTTCAACAGGATTTACACCAATGAACTATTTTTCATCCAAACTAATTCATGTTTTATCAATCTCTCCCCAAAAATTCATATTTATATTATGCTAATAGGAAACGCATAATACAAAACCTTCACAATTGATTAACTCAGAATTAATTTACAAACTACTATTTATTAAATAGAAACTCTTTCTTCCTTTACCAGCATTTAAACCCTACAGAAAATTCACATAAAAAACTTTCTATACATCCCAAATTCTTAATAATTCCTTTTCAGTGTAGATTTTCAAAACATATTCTCGCACACTAGGCAGTATATAAAATCATACAAATACTCACATTGATATTCATAAGCCGTTGATCGTCGTCAGAATAACATTTATTTCGCTACTCGGACTCCAGATACCAACGACCAACAATTCACTCTCTTTATCTGCATCGTGTCCTTACCTGCAGTTTTTCATCTAGACACTCAATGCACTAGTTCTCTGCTGGATTGAAATCGAAGAAATTGAAGTACAATATTTGGCTGATGCATTACAACACAACGCAGTAACTCTCATTCTCTCTTTACCTATGCCATGTCTTTATCCCCACTTTTACGTCTAGACCCTCACTGAACTATATCTCAGCGTCAATGAAATAGGAGACAGTGGAGCACAATATTTGGCTGATGCACTGCAACAAAATACGGTAACTCTCTTTATCTATGCCATGTTTTGATCTCCACTTTTATA